TAATAATAATAATAATAATAATAAAATGTAAATAAATGTTTTGACTGAAATGTTCATGGAGAACCACAAACAATGTTCTGCATGTGCTCGAGTCAAGACAAAAACATCACAAATTACAGTGGAAGCCAAAACAAAAAAAAAATTATAAAGTCATAATGCATAGACAATTAAAAATGACAAAATGATCAGAAATGATGGGTAACAAATTAAAACAAATTATAAACAAGGCAAAAACTGAAGACTTACAGCAAAAGAATGAAAAGCTTCAGTAAAATCAATACGTTTTACTTCATTCTAAAAAAAAACAGAAAAAAAAGGGAAAAAACGGGGGGGTTAAACAGAAAATTAAAAATCAGAGCAAGGTTAATATAACATGTCACATTGCAATTGAGCATTTTTCACAGAGCTACGCTTGAATCTAAACCCATGTTTTCATGTGTCAGGAGGASTTTTGGGATTTAACACCAACTTTTAGCCTTAGCAGGTAAAAGGCTAGCCTGGTTCTGCCCAAAAGGTAAAAAAAAAATCCAAACACTAGAAGCTCAACAGAATAAAGACTTTTTCTTAGTTTTATTTGAACAAATAGCTAGTTGGTGTCTGAGGTTTATTTTTTTTACCCTCTGAAAGAGCCAAACTCTTTGTTTCTAGACCTGTAGATAAGCTTATGCTGAGTGGATTTACTCCCCCAAAACGTATAAAAACTAATGTAATCCCAGAGTGACGAGGTCACAGTTTAAACTCAGTCATTTATTTTTTTTAAATACAAGGGATCATCATSCTTAGGTTACTCTAGTTCAACAACCTGAGGACGAACCAGTTCATCACTAAAAGGGAAGCTGGGACACCCATTTCCTGAATGTGTCAAATCGCTAGAAAACTTTCAGCATAAAAACAACCGACAGCAGCAAAAGTAACAAACATTGTTTTGATCCAGAATTATGGCAAACGCCTCATGCTGGCTTTGCTGCTCATTAATCATGCAGTGTGTTAGTGAACATGAGCACAGCTTTGGTTAAACTTGCAGCAGCTGGTGCAAGAAGTTGGTCAAACATGCAAAAACCCAGTCAAAACCTTACAACCTACTGCCTTTAGGTGGGGTCTATTTTAGGCCTAACTAATAAAAGCGTGCTGGATAAACTTAAATAAACTCTGAGGATTAATTCTAAAGCTGAAGTAGGAAGTGAAAGCGCTGCTCCAAACCTTTTTCTGGCGGTTTCGGCAGAACAAGACGATGAGCACCAGAAGCAAGATGATCCCCAATCCCACGATGAGCAGGGGGAAGTTGGACGCGACAGTCACGATGAGGAGCATCTGCCTCATCTGTGCTGCTGAGTCATCATCAATGGTTGCAGTCTGGGCTCAGGGAGAGAAGATCGTATTGATTTGAGATTCATTTCTTGTTACCAGGAAAACAAAAACACCTGTTTGAGCTAAAAGACGGGGGGGGCTCCCACCTCGTTGACGAACATGATGGGGAAAATGGTCTCGTTGATGTGCTTGGTTTTACTGAGGGGCGGAAGAAAAAAAAAAGAGAGATGAAGAGGTCAGAGAAAACATTTGACTCAACATGTGGCCCAAATGTCAACGGTGTGGCAACAGCAAAGTGGGTCGGAGTTCAGCAAACTTACGGGAAGCCTGGGACTCTCTTCAGGATGATATTGAGCTGAGCTCTCTTACAGGCACGAATAGGAACCCCTGTAGTCTGAAAAGGATTAAGAAAGATGATCTTTACATTCAGAAACTTTCCAAACACACACACACACACAAAAAAAGCACATTCTCAAGCATTAATACTTTGATAAAGCAGCCTGTATAAACCCTCGTTTATTAAAGTGAGCAGAATCCTTTTTAATGACCGACAGATCGACCAAAACAACTAACCACTCTGAATAAACCATTAATGCTTTCAAACAATAAAGACCAATGGTTTAAAGTTCAACTGCGTTCTAATCAGTGATAAGGTGTTTGTTGTACCGGCTGCAGGTCCAGGTACGTCTCGTGCTCTTCCTCGTTGGGGTTGAGCCCGTCGACGGCGTTGATGTACGCGGGGTCGGCCTGATAAAAGTGGGGGAAGGACACGACGATGGGAGCACCTGGATGGAAGTGAGGAGACACACGTGAGGCTTGTTTATGTCTTAACAAGGGTCAGGAAGAGATTAAAGGAGATACAAAGAAAAAAAAAAAAACACCAGACTGTGCAACGTCTTATCAAGTCAACACACAGTTGTGTGTGTGCAGATGAAAGACGAGTCCAGGTGTTGTGTTTTCAGTTTAAAGAACGATACAAAAAAATAAATAAATTAGGAAACTTTTCACTAATTAGTTTAGCATCAGGCTTCATATTTTCACACCCTGAGTGTATCACGTGCTTTTAAACAAGTTCCTCTACATAAAAAGGAAACAAAAAAATTACTTTTACGTCACAAAATGTTTCACCATTAAGGCATCACTTAATTTGGAAACAAAAATGACTTATTACCTTCAGCTAACCAGAACAAAAAACAGGTTTTTGTTACAGATTTTTAAAAATCATTTTAAAAAAAGTGACTGCAGGAACAGCTGGAAGTAATTAATTAACATCAGTCAGTTGTGAAAAACTGAAATGCAGATTCTGTAAACCAACATGTTCAGGAAAAAAACTGATGGGTGCTTTTGAATAAAGAAATAAAAAGCTGAACTCAATAACGATTATTAAAATATTATGTAAAGTCCTTTTGGCTTTGTGAAGGAACGGGTCAGGATATTAAAAAAACAAAAACAAAACAAAAATCGAAACAAAACACCAAAGACTGCTTGCAATGCAAATAATTTCTATGACAACTAGACTAGGAAGTCCAAACAAAACCAAAACCACCAGCAGGTGTTTAGACCACAATCTAAATGTGTCATTTTACTGGTTTCATCTCAAAGTCAATAAAAAAAATCTAACAAAAACGACAATTTTTAGGTGTTTTTAGGTGTTAGCTTTTCTGTGCAGAAAGATTAAATTCTGTAGTGAAGTTATGGATCTAAATTAAGTGTTTTTGCTTCTTTTAAACAAAAGCTTCCCACCCAGTTTCAGAATCACACCACGTTTCAAACATCAGAGGCTCTCCTTCACACGCATCAAAAAGGAAGTGAGCTCGACTGACACTACAGCAGATTAAACAGATTTTTTTAATACTCAAAACATACTGAAATAAAAATGCAAATATAAAAAAAGGATTTAGGTAAACAGAAATAAAAAGCCACAGTAGCCATCTTCTGGCTTTACAAATCAAACAGAGCAGAGATTATTTTATTAGAGCAATCCCACTCTGCTCAATGACCGTCATAAAAAAATCCTTCATAACCTCCAAACACAGTCAGGACAGTTAATCATTGAACGGCTGTTGAGTAAAACCTGACGTGCTCAGAAATGTCAGATAAACCAGGGGACGAGGTCACTGACCACAGGGACTTTGTCATTTTTGAAAAAAGGGAGTGCAAACAGAAGAAATTGAATCATGAGGCTGATCAAAGCGGGGGGTGATGGGTAACTAGATCAGGCTGTGAGGAAAGTGGGTCGGGTCATACCGTCTCGACAAACGCTGACTTTGAGCACGCCGGTGCCGAGGCAATCTCCTGCCGGCACGCAGAAGCCGGCGTTGGTGGGGTTGTCTTCGGGTTTCATGAGGACGTCGTTGGGGGGCGCGAAGCGGTACGCGTGGATTCCCTTCACCTCCACATCCTTCACGTACGCCAAATGAATGGATCTGAGGGAGAAAGATAAGAGCTCTTACATTCAAAACCAACAATAACTTGCAAACCTTTTAAAAAACAGAGCTTAGAGTGTCCTGTGCAGAAATACATTTCCTAAAATGTGCAGGACAAACTTGCCCTTGTGTTTTTGCTTGATTGCCACCCTTAAGACTGTTGCACTAGCACATACTTATCAGTGAATTAGCCACGCAAATGACTCAATGTGTCATTTCCTTACCATAAAATCCACTGGAAGTCCTTGGCCTACTCACCCTGACCGAATGCTTTGACTGTAAACAAGTCCAATAAAACAAAACGAACGCACGCATACCTGCAGAGATCTGCGGCGAAGATGTACAGCAGCTCGTTCCTGTTGATCAGCGGGTGGAAGACGGCGCCGTCCGTCCCGTTGATCATGTTGCTCTGATTGGAGGACCACCACGACATTCTCCTGTTGGTCCGAGAGCCCAGAGGTGATGTTAGTGTGGAAAAATTAATACATATATTTAATGTATGTATTTTACGTTTTACATAACCCACACCCACAGCTACTTTGTGTTGGGAAAGTACTGAAAAACCAAAAACCCTACAGTCGGGACTACTTTTACCTGAAACTTAAACTCATCACAGAACTGGTTTCAACTCGTTCTAGTCGACTGATTCAATGCGCACTTTGACTCTCTTTGGCTATCCAAATAAACATTTTGCAACCCTTTCCTACCTAAAGCCAGGGAGCAAAGGGTTTCTTCTTTTAGATGCAGGTTGTGTAACAAAGCAAATGTGACTATTTCAAGTAGAGGGAAGCAGGAGTAATGAGTTGGCAACAAGAGTTTCCTTTTTATTCCAGAAAGCATTAACGCAGCGAGGGACAAAAATCTGTTCTGGTCGCAGACGATTAATCGTCTGTCGGTTGACACAACTTTACCTCAGGCCATTCCACGTGTCAATCTTCCCATAATCCAGGTAGTTCTGCACGCCGGTGTGGAAAACAAACTCTCCCTCGTGAGTGCCGTTTTTCTGTGGAGAAGAGACAAAGAACTGTCAGAAACTGAAAATTACCACTCTTGACAGGAAAGTTTATTCTACTGGTGAACAATATTAGCAGAAAACATTACTATCACCCATCAAATATATCAACTGACTTTAAAGTTTTATGAGTTGGTTGATTATAATATTTTACAAGTTATGTATAAGGCACATAAAAATGTATTACCTTTGAACATTCAATCAAATTATGTGAGGAGGGAAAGTTGTTATAATCTTAAGAGACTAGAATTTTTTTGTAAAACCTAAAATTCAAACAAATTTAAAAAGGACCAATGTACTTCAGTCAAAGGAATAAGATTATGGAATAATCTGGATGATGACTGTAAAAATGCTGGCTCAATTAATTTGTTTAAGAGAATGACAAAAGTTAAATAATTAAAGAAATATGAAATTGTATAATTTGTATTTGTGGTAGTTACTGTTTGAGGAGGTGAATTTTTTTGTTTGGTTTTATTATTTGATTACTAATATTTGAAATTGATAATATTTTTTGCAAATGGGGCAGATTTAAGATTTTTCTTCTGCTACCTTTCATTTTATTTGATTTGTATTGTTTTTGTTGTATGTAAATGTGTTTTTTAATGAAATGAATATGTATGAGTATGAGAGTTGTTTTCCCTATTTATTTGCTCTGTTTTTATGGTTTGTCATTATTTGTGTATTGTCTGTAATGCTTTTTTAATAGTTGCAAAATGTGAAGCACTTTGGCCAACGGCAGTTGTCTTTAAATGTGCTATATAAATAAAGTTGACTTGACTTGAATAAAGATAATAATAATAATAATAATAATAATAAATTTGGGTCATTTTCTGTGGATGAAGTGATTAATAAATGGTCCATAAAGTCCCTGAATGTTGCATTTAAAGAGGATCACGTTGCTGCTTGTGACAGGCTGCAGATGTTCCTCTATAAACAGGAAGCTTAATATCTTCCATCAGCGTTTAAGCAGCGTCACGTCTTTCAGGTGACATTCTCACAAACCTCCCTTTTCTCTGTGGTTTTGGTAACCTGACAACAAAACATGAACACAGTGTTGCAAAACAGAAAACAAAATACCTCCCTGCAACCGGACTCACCTTCCACATCAGTCCAAAGTACTCGTCCACTTCAGGTTTCATTTTGTGAATCCTTGTCATAAGCGGGTCTTTGAAGCCCCACAGAACCTCGTGGACGGTGCGGGTCATGAAAAGGTCGACGCCAATGCCGCTCAGGTACAAGGAGACCATGCTTCGAAGGAAGAAGGAGTAGGAATTCAGCTCGTTCATCACAGCCTAATGAAAAACAAACACAGTGAAAAGCTTCCATCACACAAAACCGCTTCTGAAAATGTCACAAYGAAAACAGACACGAGACAATGACTCGAGGAAAAACAGTGTTTGAAGAAATAATAAACAACTGCCTGTCAAATCTATAGACAATGCAGCACAGACGCATCCGTCTCACCACAAGCGGAATGTTGATGGTTCTGACAATGTCGACCTCGGGGTCGCCGGCGGACTTCTCGGGCACAAAGACAAAGGTTTTGGGGTTCAGGGCGTAAATTTTTGTCCCGTTCTCCAGGAAGGTTATGTTTTCTCGTGGCCTGTACTCCCTGGTGTGGACAGAACATTGGTCAGTCATTTCGTTTAAGACTTAGAAACTGGATTTTCTGTTCAAATGAAACCTACCTGTACGTATACGGGCCAATCTGTTGAACCGACGCCTTTCCTCCTGCCAGGAACACCTCAGGGTTGGTGATGTTGAAGAAGTAATAYTCCATGTAAACAGGAGGAGGGGGGTTCTTCCAACCCTCAAAAACTTGACTCTTCTCCGTCAATGTAATTTCCTGTCAAGTAAAACCCAAGTTCAGACTGAGAAACACTGAATCTCCATCTGTCTTCCAAATCTCTAATACTTTCTCTCTGAAAGCGATGGCAAAGGCATTTGGTGTTTGATTTTTAGGGCTTCTCACTAGCAGAAGTGCTATCTGAAAAGGTCCACGCGGCACTTCGGTAATGAGCTGGTGCCTCAACAAGACTTCCAAAACCCTGAAAGGAAGCCCATCAGGGCAGAACTCAACAATTTCCAGTAATTGAAGGTAAACCTGCATTTGGAGTGGTAAAACACCAAACTACATGCAAAATGTCAAGAGAGTTCACACATTTAGAGCGATAAACCAAAACAACCAGAAAGAAAATTTCACTCAAAGTGACTTTCAAGTAGGGTTGCACAGTATGTGTGAATTGATTTTGCTGTGTCTTGTAAGCCCATGTGGGCTGGGAACTTGTAGTGCATGACACAAAAAGAAAATTACTTCTTTACTGTATTAGGAAAAACTTCAAATTCTCGTCAGTGAGTCTGCATGTTTCAGACGTTACTCTGCTTTAACACACCTAATTTGAACAAATGAGAGCCTAACAGGCTTCTGCAGAACTTGAAGATCCACTGAGGAGCAAAGAAACACATTCAGGATGGTGGCCCTCGAGAGGCAGGATTGAGATCATGACTGAATGTACAATACATTGCACAGCTCTACTTTCAAGATGGTTTTACTTTGATCATGTGAATAAAAWGCCTGGGAAATAAAGTTAAGTAATGCTAAAAAAAACCCAACTCTGGTTCCCACATGTCTGAACATGAGGACCTGATACGTTTCAACAGAAGCACTCAGGTGTAGAAGAGATTAGAGTTTGGCTCGAGGTGTTGAACGGAAAGGATCAAAYGATTTTAGAAGTATTTTTAAAAACTTGGGGATAAATGTCCCACTTSCTGTCTTTAAGTTGGAGTTCCTGAAAACCCGTTGCTCCCCTGAGTAGAGAGGTGCACTTTAGAGAAATCATACATTGTCTTCTGCGGGCCTACAGGCTCTTACAGCAAACAAAATATAGGAKAGGGTGTAGCCTAAAGCTTCCCGTTTTTGTTTCCATTTCCAGCTTTCAAAAGAATTGTTTTCTTTTGTTTTGCTGTGGCGTCTTTTTCATTYGACCTTTAGGCAAACTCTATAGGTCAGTCAGAATATATCCACCATTAGTTAAAAACAATAAACTATAAGTTCACCTGAAACTCAGACTGAAGAAGTCTCTTGGAGGAGAGGTTTCACTAAAGAAGAACCCATCCAGAGGACCTACTTATTTTTTTCCTTTTTGAATAAACTAAGATTTACATCAGCTGAAAAATAAAAAAAAAATAAATTAAACCATTTTGCTAACAATCTCCAGACCCATTTGTGCACGAGTGAAACTGCAAAATTCCATCTTTAGGTGATGTTTTGTTTAGTTTTATCAGGCAAATCCTCAAAAGCTGGTTTAATAAAAGTACTAAAATAGTCGATTTTAGTTTGGCGCAAAACTCAAAAAACAGCTTCCAGTCTAAAACAGAACCAGAGGTATTTAAAGAGGTGAATCTCTTGAGTCTTGACGAGTCTGCTTCTTAATTAAAAAGCTGAAATGAAACCAAGATAATGCATAAAGGAGGACACGAACATCAGCTAAACTGGAACAAATGAGCAAAGTTGTTCCTTTTTTCTTCTTAAAAAATGCAAATCTTGGTGGCTCCTGACGTCTTAGAAACTGAACGCGTGACTAAAACCGCAGTCGGTGTGAACCCTTGCCTCTGCCATCCTTGAACAAAGGTCTTTTAAAAAGGCTTTTGGTCAAGGTAAATGACATTTGTCCTGAAAAAAAAAAAAAATATATATATATATATATAACAAAAATGTTCTAAAGCGTAAAACTTAATTTGCAGAGAATGACCCAAATAAATGAAGAGGCCGATTAACTGCGGGGTGATGATATCCTCATTTGACCAGCTGAACTTAATAAACATTAATTTAAAAACATTAGGTGTGCTTAATTAAAGCGGACTTCAGCTGAACGACCTTGTTCTTCAAGGGATTTACACTTCAGTGAAAAGTCTTCATTTCCAAACATGCCTGTAAGGAGTGGCTTGAGTGGGTGTTTTTTATCCCCCTCTCTTTCTTCAGTTTGTCATTTGAGCCAAAAGATTTGGGATTGCAAATCTCAACAGGGAAAAACCACAAGGATTTAGGTGTCTGCTCTCTGGCAAAAAGTGTGCCCTCAAGGCCGAGAAACTGGTCGAATTCCTCCAGACTTTTGTGCTACTTCCTTCTACGGTTGCACAAAGTCAATGTCCTGAAGGTAGCTTTGAATGGGCTGCATCRTTATTACACAGAGCCAGATTAGATAGATTTTTTGGAGTCCATTCAGCATGTCTGGGGCCAGCCTAATTCAATGGAAGGGCTGAAGTAAAAAGAGGATTAGCTGCGCTGTGTCATTTCATGTAATCGCCAGCTGCATCAGAGTCAGATCCCCCTGGTGACGAACTTTGCCCGACTCTCTTCATCTCCTGGGATGTTGCCCTGAATTGGACCTAAATTTGACCTCACTGTGTCAGCGAGGCAGATGTTCGCAGGACTTGGACGGAGTCCTGAGCTTGGATTTGGAACATTTTTTTTCAGTGACTTTCCTACAGGAGCAGAAACAGGTTGATGCTCAAGTGAAATCTAACAGGAYACATGTCAGAAAGAGAGAAATGTGAGGCATTTTAAATAAACGGTCAGCGAGTGGTTCAGCAGGGATGTGAGCGGGTGTCAGCTGCCAACAACCCCACCCCTTTGGGCTACCACTCCATCACCCATCCAGAACTGCAACAACAAGCWGACAAATCTGCATTTGGAAAGACCCACAGTCAAATTAATCTGACAAATATAGACAAGCTATGATAAGAAACAGCAGTWTTGTGAATTCAAACAGGTCAGCGAGGACAGAGCTGCATGCAGATGCATTTTCAGGAGCCACACTGCAAAACACACCATTTACCTTTGGGTAAATTACTGCAGCTTTGGCTGCTGATTTTTCTAAAAGTTAAATGTGAAAGTCAGGACTCATGTCTTTTCCATCAAAACTGCACACATCACCCAATCAATTCTACCAGGTCTTTCCTGCAATCATTGGGAAAAGTCAAAATATGAAGCTCGTTGTATCCAGAAATGCGAGGCACAAATGAAGAGGGGGGTTTAAATGCCACAGCAGTTGAAACAGCTCTATAAATCATGTGCAGTTTGGTCAATTATTATAGGAATTTAATGTTTTAAAGCGCCATAAAATGAAACGAAAACTGATCTGAGCCATACAATCTGAAATCCCCGTCAAGAGTAGGAGGTTTCAGGGGATTATTTCGCCTATATTCATTCATTTTTTTCCTGGGCTTATAAAACAAAATGTTCCTGAACAAAACAGTGGATCGTGTGGACCGAACTGAAGGACACAAAACCCAACAAACATCATAATAAAAAGCAGCTACATGGTGGTTCTTCATCCACCGGTCCCCGCGGATGAACACTTCCAACCTTTAAAAACTCACATAATAAGCAGCCAGAAAACAAACATTAAAAAATGTTAAATATGTTTCAGTTTAATGTCGATGGGGTTCGGCTCACCTGTTTTAACCGACTGTGGATCATCGTTTGGAAGACTTGAGCCACCACCAGGGCGATCCCCACAATCAGGAGGTGAGCGCAGACGATGCCGGTGGCGTAAATGGCACAGGATCTCCGAGTCATGACGCCAATAAAAATGTTTAAAAAAAATCACAAAAAAACTTCACTGAAGTCGACGATAACTTTCACCCAAAAACATATAAAGGTGAAGATGAAATGATGTTGGACCGTGAAGCCTCGGGAGCAGCAGCTGTAAAGGAGGGGGGGTGTTAAAGTTCACTCTTCACCGGGTTTGGCCTGGTCCTTCTCCCGGTGAGGCGGAGGAATAATAAAAAAAATGTTGGCACTACTTTTATATAAAAAAGGATAATAATGGAGGGAGGGAGACGACCGAACAACCCCCCAAACCTGAAACGACGAAGGACCGGACAGCTCTGAGGCTGACGTGAAATGAACCAGCAGCTCTCTCAGCACTTTGAGAGGAGGAGGAAGAGCTGCCCCCTCCTCTTCCTCCTCCTCTTCGCGTGAAGCCGGTGAGGCGGAAAGGAAGCGGCGTTTTTTTGGGGGGAGGCTTCATGCGTGGGTGTGTAAAGAGACGTAAATGTTTGCCCTTTTTAAAAACTTGTCACCAAGGCGTGTCTTTATTWTTATTATGTTTTGTGTGCAGTTTTATATAGCTGAACTCTAATTAAAATTATGATTAATTGGGGGGGTAGTTAGCCTCACATCTGAACGCTCTTTAACGTCCTTACCGAGATAACGTGGGTGTTGCTGCTCACGTGGAGGGAGCTACTTTTAAAATTCCGTTATTTTACAATTTGAACACTCCTTCACTCTCCCAGCGTGCTCAGAAAATGTGCAGACAGCAGCGTTTCCGTTAGCTTTTATATGAATAGAAAAAAAAAACACGAGCTCGCCTCGCGACTCCTTAAATAAGCACCACGCGCACATGAATAATGTGGATTCGAAGGACCAACGGTTTTGACGCGAGCCCCCCTTTGTTCGTACAGCGAGCGCTCTGATTGGCCGAAGCCCTCACGGACCACCGTCTCACCGAGCGCTGATTGGTCAGAGGGTGGTGAGAGTGATGTTGACATTCATCGTCTGATTTCAGGGCGGAGCCTGTTGTAAAGGGGGAACCGAGCTATAGTTTTAAAAAACAAGAAAAAGTGGGGGTGTTTATGAGCTCCTGCAAAGCTACACACGCTGTTTCATTGGAGAAGCAGAAAAATGTGACTGGTTTACGACCTGAATTATTCTCATTATGTGTCTCGAGACAGAACATCGACAAACATTTATCACCGAGAAGAACTGTTTTTTAGTGGAGGAAGGTGATGCTCACAAGGTAAATTACATTAAATTGATATAAAGTGCTGGACTTTATATCGCTCTACACTAAACCTTCACAAAACATTTAAAGTATGTGTAATTAAACATTTTAACAAGTGACAATATCCACAAAATTTCACTCAAATACACAGATTTTTAGATGTTAAACTAAATGGAAAGCAWATATTTTTATGAATAAAAGCACACAAATAAAAATCTGCAGTCTCAAGTCTCCATAGCRTTTAGGCTACTATATGCTGACAGGCTACTTCTGTTGGGTAATTTCCCACAGTGTATCATTATGAAAAATATTTTTCACAATAAAAGCATTTTTGAGTAAATTAGTTAAAAACATGAATCAGACAATTTTTTATCTTGTTTGTAAATAAGACTCCAACTATTAAAAAAGTATATATTTTATTATAGAGTCTTAGGTTTGTTCTAAAATAGAGAAGTTGCACTAAAACATGATTTCTCCTCAGAGAACATGTTGAATAACTGCTCGTTATCACTCTTTGCTCTTTTATTATTGTTATTTTATGTAATTTGGACTACGAGTCTGTAATAAATCTATCTATCTATCTATCTATCTATCTATCTATCTATCTATCTATCTATCTA